TATACACTTAAATTCCTGAATTTCAAGCTATGTCAATTATACCTCATGAAACTATAAATAAGTAATCAGCCACCAAAGAGTATGGGGTGGCAAGGTATACATGAAACAAGTTTGGCAATATACTGGTCATTTCTGATGTTGGATGATGGATAATAGAAGTTTATTACACTACTCCTTCCACTCTTTAGTAAAATTCAAGAAGGGCTATCTCCAGGTGGAGGTTGGGGAAAGGTGACATGTTTCTCTTGGCCCTTTGGCCTTTCATATCATCACCCAGGAACCTAGATCATTTCTGAAATTACTGAGCTTCTGTACCAGTCCTGTACTGTTTTCCTCACTCAGACTTTGTGTCTGAGTCAAAGAAGCCCTTTCCTGCTTAAGCTAATATGGTAAGTGTTGTTTTCATTGCTGTTGCTTTTTGCTTGCAGCTAAATCATCCCCCAAAAAACATATTTTCTTATCTCTATTTATAAAGACTGAATACCACTGTTGTGGTCATTCCCAAATTAGTGCCCCTCTACTGCTTGTTGTTGTTGTTGTTATGTGCCATCGAGTCGGCCCCGACTCATAGCGACCCCTCCTTGGGTTTCCAAGGCAGTATCACTACGGAAGTAGGATTGCCCAACCTTCCTTCCGAGGAGTGGCTGGTGGGTTTGAACCTCCAGCCGTCTGGTTAGCAGGCAAGTGTCTTAGCCACTATGCTACCAGAGCTTCCCCTCTACTGTTTAGCACACTACAAAATATATTCCAAAACTAGCTTGGCTTCTCTTAAACTGCCTATAGTTGTTAAGGTTGTATGCCAACATGGCTAGGCTGTGGTTCTGAGTGGCTGGGCAGCTGGATATATTTATTTCCCATGATGAGATTGTAATTACCCTCATGGTGGAACCTGCTGTGAGGAGTTAAGTAGCTGCTTGAAGGGTATGGCCTGCTTCACGTAAGGAGAAGCTTTGAGGAAAGGCTCTAGCTTTTTGGCACATCCTGCATTTGGCTGAGTCTTCACCTCCAGTTTTCTGGCCTTGAACCAGTGGCCTGTCAGGTTGCCTACTGATCTTGGGATAGTGTCATTTTACATGCCAACCTTGAGTTTGTCAGCCTCAGCAGCTAGCAGATGCCCAAATTAGGAGATGCCTCTAGCTCCAGTGGGCCTGAAATATGAGGCAGAGCTAAAGCCCAAGGTCGAGGGGCCATCACCCAGCCCATACAGCTGGGACTCTGAATTTGGACTTCTAGCCTCCTAAACTGTAAGAAAATAAATTCCTATTAGTTAAAAGCCATCCACTTGTGTTTCTGTTATAGCATCACTAGAGAACCAAGACATTGCCCAATCTTCTCTTTCTCTTCTTTTGTTCCTCATTTCACAAAGCCTAAAAAACAAGTATCTTCCAGTAGCAGTTACAATCAGAATTCCCAGATCCAAAGACACAGAACATACAGGTAATTTTTATTTAAAGTTTACAATCTGACTTCCATAATACTGATTTTTTTTTCAGTCTTGTGGCATATATGACTTTGTACAGCAGCCTTTCACAATGTCAAAAAATATTCTTCTTACTTTATAATAATGCCTTTTTCTATAAGCATAGATTCCACTGCTACATATAAACATCTATAACAGAAATAGCAAAGATCTGAATATTACATAGATTTGGCTTGGCTTTCTATCCCAGAGAGGTTATAAGTAGAATTATAAGGGTTATAAGTAGAGTTAAACTGATCTCAGTCTAGTCTTCCAGAGTAATAAAATGTCAAGCAACAAGGTCAATAAGCAGGAATCTTTGTTACTATACACTTTTCTATCACTATGTAATAAGTTTGTAATGTCTTTCAACAGATCAACTTTTCTGACTCAACTAAAACAGGTAAAAAAAAAAAAAAAATTCCTTTTGTAAATCCACCAGTATTAGGAAAGTTAAAAATCTCACCACTCATATATCTTGCTGGTTATATATCCTAAGAGATTAAGTTTATACACATGAGTAGAGTTTTGGTTAAAGAAGGAAAAAAAAAAAAAAAAAGCACAGCAAAATTACCTAGAAGGCTAAAAGCAGTAAGAAAAATGTAGTAGCTAAACACAATGATATCAACTGACAACTTCCACAGATTCAGTTCAAAATGAAATAGAAAATTATTTAAAATGATAAATGGCTTAGAATTAAAACATTATACGTCAAGAAACTTGGAACACTAACATCCAAAGATCTCAAGCAATGAAACTTGCGCTGGCCTAGCTCCATAAAACTATGTGGCATTCATTTCTGTTATATCTTTACAAAAATTTGTAAATTTACAACCCAAGTGTCCATCAACTGAAGAATGGATAACCAAGCTATGGTACATACACACAATGGAATACTATGCAACCCTAAAGAACAACGCAGACTCTGCAAAACACCACATAACGTGGATGAACTTGGAGGACATTATGCTGAGTAAAATAAGTCAATCACAGAAGGACAAATATTGTATTAGCCTGTTACTGTAAAAAGTCAAGGAAAGGTTTATATATGGAAGGAAATTGTCTTTGTTGGTTACCAGGGGTGGAAGTGGAGGGGAGGGAACACTGTTAGATAGGTAGAGACAAGTATTGATTTGGGTGAAGAGAAGAGCAATGTACCAAACGTGAGTGATCAACACAGTGGTATTGAGAAAGAGGAAGACATAGAGAGGTACTAGGGAGGTATAGACAACAAAGATGAACCCTTTTCAAGTACCAGTTGGGATCTTAAAAGCTTGCAAGCAGCCATCTAGATGCAACGATGGGTCTCTCCTCATTCAGAGCAAAGAAGAATGAAGAAAATCGAAGATTCATGGAAAGAATTGGTCCCAGCGACTGGTACACCATGTGATCCACAGCCTATACGACTATGAGACCAGAAGAACTAGATGGTGCCCGGCTACCACTGTCAACCACTCGGAGAGGGATCTATGTAAGAGATCCTGAATAAAAAGGGAGAACAATGTGGAACAAAACTCAAAATCATTTGGAAAAAAAAAAGTGGGTTACCAGGTTTGCTGGTCTGATAGAGCCTGGTGGAACCACTGAGACTATGGCCCCTAACTGCCCTTTAGGTCTGGAATTGAACCCATACCTGTGGCTTCCAGCCAAACAAAAGACAGGCATATGAGTTGAACATGTACCTGAGGTAGATACACTCCTTGCAGAGAACAATCATGGAAAAAAGAAGCATTGTTTATGCACTGGGAGACAGCTCAGGGGGCAGGAGTGCATG